CAAAAATAGATGATAGGATTAAAAAGACGTGGTACATATACACAGGGGAATATTACTCAGCAATCAAAAAAGATAAACACATGCCTTTTGCAGCAACATGGATAGAGCTGAAAGGGATCATGCTCAGTGAAATAAGAAAAATACCGATGGTTTCATTCTTAGCTGAAGAGTCAGGAGGGGGAGGGGGAGAAGAGGAGCAAATGTAATGAAATAAAAGCAAAAACAACAAATAACTTTAAACCAGAGATGTGTTATGGGGTGGAAAGGGGAATGGGATCACAACTGGGGTGGGAGGAGTGCATGGGACTGTGGTAATGGCACATAGGTGAATTGGTGGTGGGAAGCCCACAGGGGTTACAATTGAGATGAAATAATGCACAAAATGAAGAATGATACAAAAAAAAAGCCAAAAAATGTAATAAACCACAAACTATTCAACGTGAATTTGGATTCTACTTTGTATTTTTTCTAAAGATAGGTTAATCAAAGAAATTGAATAGTTATAAATTAGAGATGTAGCAAAAAAGCAGTGGTAATTCTAATAGTGCTAGGGTGTGTATTTTTAGAAGTCTCCCCTTTTGGGGTACATTTTATTTTCTGTGGCATATAAGAAAAACTTCATTTTTGTCACTAGCTATAGGTTTACCACTCACAATAAACATTGCCTTTAAATCTATTGGCCACTAAGTCCATATCCATTTATTCACTTAATATTTGATTGTGTACTGTGTTTTAGGCACTTTGCTAAGTACTAGTACTAGTATGAAACATAGATAATTGGACCCTTGTTTATAGTGTAATGTAAGGAGAGCCAAAGAATTGACCATGTGAATACGTGGACTGACACATTGTGGTGAAATTAAGGTGCTTCACTGTTTATAAAGGACTCTAGTTGATTAGGGATGGAGAGGGCATGTCAGATCTTGTAGTAATTTATTTGTACCCTTGTCTTTTCTACAACAATTAGAAGTTCTAATGTAAGAGCCGGTTTTTTTCATTAGTATGCCATCAAGGTTTAAGATACTGCTTGGAATGTGTGTGGTAGGCTCTCAAGTGTGTTTTTGTTTTTCTTCTTAAGGTGACATTAGGGTCCCCCTGTCAAATATCACCACCACAGTGATCCCATCATTAAATCACCCATAATCCACTATCATAGTCCATTGGGCTTTCTTTCCTTTCTGTTCTTAACCTTTTCCCCACATCTCTGGAGGTCTCAGTACTTTAGTCAGCTTTCAAGGGTTAGTTTTTGAGCTTGTCTAGATCTAACCTTAATTTGGTATTTATTGATTCATCTTCTTGTATGATCTTAGGTGCCCACTCAAGTGGTGATGGGGAGCCAGTAGCTTTTTGTGGATGTCATGTTGTACACAGCCAACATAGTGAAAATACTGTTTAACCATACATTTCCTGTTACATAACAATGAAGAGTAACCATGTGCTTTTTACTTTCTTTGAAGCTTTCTTTAAAATAAAAACTTACTGACTATATAGTAGTTAACTTACTGGTATTGATATGAGTTTCATTCAAGTTTGCTAGATTTTTCAAACCTTTAAAAATGTTAATATTCCACCATTATTACATTGCAGAATCTAATAATTATTATATTTACTATATTACTATAAACACAAGCCTTTAATGTTTTCATGATGTTGGTGCTTTTACTTCCACTCAAAGAATTCCCTTTTGGATTTTTTTGTAAGGTGGATCATATAGTAGTGAACTTTCACAGCTTTTGTTTGGGAAAGTGTTGATGTCCTCAATTTGTAAAGGACAGTTTTGCCAGGTATATAATTTTTGGTTGATATTTATTTTCAATATTTAGTTATGTTGTCCTATTATCTCCTGTCACACAAAGTTTCTGGTGAGAAATCTGGTTATAGTTTTATGGTGAGTCTTAACATTTCTTTTTTCTTGTTGCTCTTAGAATTCTTTGTCTTTGTCTTCTGACAATTTAATTATAATGTGTCTGTATTTGCCTTTCTGTGTTCAAATTATTTGAGACCTTTTGAGCCTCATTGATCTGGATGTCCATAACTCTCCCCAGACTTGGGAAATTTTGAGCTGTAATTGCTTTAAATACTTTCTGTCCTTTTTTATTTTTTTTTCCTGCAGTGTCCATAATGAGATTGTTTTCTTTGTCTCCCACAATTCCTAAAGTCTTTCTTCTTTGTTACTCTGTAAATTCAAATGTCCTCCACATGAAGAGGCTGAACTTGAATTCTGCATGGTTGGGTCTGCTTTAGTAACTATTGGATTCCTCAGTTAACTTCTCAGTTTTTGAGCTCTAGTTTTTCTGCTTGTCTTTTTTCTTTCTTTTGCAGTTGCTGTGTCATTGTTGAACTCCTCACTTTATTTATACATTATTTTCTGATTTCATTTGGTTGTCTATTTTCTTATAGTTTACTAAATTTCCTTAGGAAATGTCATATTTACTTGATGTGATCCTTGATTCCTGATGTTGGTACCTCCTCATTTGATTAAAGTAGCAAATCTGTTTACAGGTTTGCCTTGGCAAAGACAGTAAACTCAGTTTGATGTTTTAGGGACAATGTCTTTGGGCAGGTAGGAGCTGCTGTTACGGTCTTTTTTGTAGTGAATCCTTCAAACTTGGAGGACCTCAGTTGGGTCATGAGACATTGAGAAAAGTGGAGCGGAATTACTGGGTTGTTCTCTTATTCAAGTAAAACTGTAGGATGAACTCCATAATTGTTTGGATTTTTTCATCAGACTTATTCCCCACCTACCTTTCTTGGTTTATGAATTTTGGTGGGTCATTTCTTCTAGAAGTTGCCAGAGAGATAATAAGAGGATAGTAAATTCATATTCATGTATGTCTCCTTGGGCACGAGCAGTTAGTTATATTGTACCCCTGTGTTTAATTGACTGTTTACGGATTTTGGTATTGGAAGTAATTTTCATTCTGTATTAAGACATTGCTTTATTGTCTTTTAGAGGCTTATGTTGAGATGGAGTACTCAAAATCATTCTAATTCCTGATTTTTGGTTTTCCTTTTTTCTTCCCTGGAAGCATATCATCTTTATCTCCAAACCTCCCTTGGAGTCTTTGTAGTTAATTTTTCATTGTAACTGTTGTATTTTTTCAGCTAGAATTTCTTCTTGGTTTCTTTTCTATTTTCTGTTTTCTCACTTGTTTAACTTTTATTAGTTTGGGCATCTGAGAGCTTATTTAGAGGTTTTAGGTAGGGAGTACAGCTACTGTATATCCTCATTCTCTTGAGTAAGGTTGTCGTTTTGTCCTCAGCATACAGATTTGGGAGGAATGCACATGGAGCAGTGAGGGAGAAAGGAGACACTTGCTTAGCCAGTTAGAGTGGCTGAATCAACTCTTGTGATCTGTGGGTGACAGGTATGGCAGCCCCATCCCTCTCATACCTCCTTTGAGCTTCTTTAAGACTTTCATTTTAATCTTTGTCTAGTATATCTGTCTCCAAGCATTTTTTCAGTGACAGTTTCTATTTTATTTTTTTTTCTTTTAAATTGGTTACTGTGTCTTCATATGCCTTGTGGTTTTGTTGTTTTTGAAAGCTGGACATTTGAATCTTAAGTGTGCTGAGAAAAATCTGAAGATCAGATCTCTTTCCTCCTCAGGTTTGCTATTTTGTTGTTTGTTTTGATTGTTGTAGGCTGTTCCTATGCTGAGGGCCATCCTGAGATGTAAACTTTTAAGGTCATTTTAATATTTTGAGTTTTTCTTTGGGCATGAACAATTATAGTATAATTTTCACCGTTTATGCAGTTTTGGAATATCCTGGTCGTCGGTGGCTGGTTTAAAATTGGGAAAAAGTAAAAAATGAAGAGAAGAATAAAAAAGGGATATTGTCCCCCTAAGGCCATTGGAAGTGATTTTAGTGACAAGTGAGGGGCTTGCAACAATGGCTGCCCACCTTTTTTTTTTAAAACAGTATTGATCAATGTATGGATCTGTAATATTTGGAGGAAAAAACCTTTTTTGCCCATCCTAGCTCCCATGAGCTATTCCTAGAATACTGTACACAATCTAGCTAGGGATAGAGAATAGATTGTTAGTACTGTGCTAAGAGCTAAAATTGACCAAAATCAACCACAACTTACCATACAGGTCTTTTTTTGTAGCAAACTCAGTAGAGTGCCAAAATAGTTATATCTCTCCACCTAGCTATCTTTTCCGAATTCTTCCCTTGGTATATGTGTGTTTTGAAATTTGATATTGCCAGTTCATTCTCTCTCCCCCAGCAACATATGAAGGGTTATGTGCATTTGTGTTCATAGTAGTAATTTCTCAAAGTGCAGGTTTCCTGTTCATGTCAGCATTGGGCGTGTCTAATCCTTTTTTATAGTTGTTGATCTGGTAGACAAAAAATAATCATTTGTATTTGATATTTGCATTTGTGTGATTAGTAAGAATAAAATTTCTATTCTTTATATTGTAATTCATAATATTTTTATGTATATGTGCCCTTTTTTATAGTTCTTGATATTTGGCTTGGGGCTTGGTAAGAAAATATAAGTGACAAAAAATTTATTTGTAAGAATTAGTCCAAATAATTTATTTAATTTATTAATTTAATAAATTTATTTAATTTATTCAAAATTTACTCTATTTGTAATGTTATATAGATTTTAAATGTTAATTTACTGTCCAGTCTCTTGATATTCCTCATAAATATGCATAGCTTAACTTTATATCTAAGTGTTAACATTACAATATTTTGTATTTGACAGAATGTTTTCATGGATTCTAATTATAGCTATTAAAATGGATCATATTTTGAAGATGAGGAAACTTGGTTTTGATAGATCCAAAAACTTGCCCAAATGTTTAGTGCTCGTTTTTGATAATATAAAAGGCAAAGTCCATCAGGGTCCAGTTCTGGGCCTGCCACTGATTCAGTTAGTCAATTCTTGTTAGCTTCAAAATGAAGATGACTCTATTTTTGGTTTAGATAATATTTTAAAACTATTTATGTTCTTAGATAATAACAATATTATTACTTTTAAGTCTAGACATGAATACAGAAGCAGAACAACTACTTCTCCATCATGCCAGAAATGGCAATACTGAAGAAGTAAGACAACTATTAGAAAGTATGGAGAAGAGTGAAATAATTGCTGACATTAATTGCAAAGGTAAGCATTGAATGGCTTTTGTATCTTTCTTTTACTAGTTTGCACTATTCATCACCTGATTTTTTTCACGTTGGATGGAAAAAAATGTACATCTCTTATCCTATGATGGTCCTCACAGAAATTGGCAAGTCTCTCCCCTAAGGCCAACTAAGAGGACTTGAGATCCACCTTAAAGTTTTCATAGATCTTAATCCTTAAATGACCATACATCTTAAATATGAACATACACTCACAAGCTGCATGCTATAATATTTTTTTTTTTTCTTAAGGATGTTGTAGTTGAAGCAGCAGGTTTGAGAGTTTACTATATGCCCAGAATCTTATGGACGCCCCATAGAGAGGGTGTTGAAGAGTCAGACAGGATCCCTGCCCTATTAGTCTACATTACACAATATGTAATGAAGTATGGGGTTTCATGGGACCTTATAGTCAAAGTCTGTAACTGGAACTTGAAGGATTAGTTTCATAAAGGAAATGACTCTAAGGTGACATATGAAGACAGTGTAGGAGTTAACCTGGTGAAAATGGAGAAAGAAAGGATTTAAGGCAGAAGGAAAAGCATTGCCAGCACCCTGTGGTGAGAGGAGCCTACATGACTAAGGCCTGCCGACTGGAGGGGTCAGGGAAACTGCTGAGTGAGTAAGCAGCCTGCAAATCATAACTTGCCTTATGTACCAAGGTTGCATGTATATTACACTTGGGTATGTGGAAAAATAATTTACTAACACAGCTCTGTATTTCAATAAGCATATTCTCATTCTGGGGATGTGGAAGACTAAATATTGGTCTTTGGAGTCTTCAACTTCAGTAGTTTTTTGATAAATTCTTAGTCTTTTAGGACCCCTTACCTCTTTCTTCCACTCCAAACACGGCTTTTAAATGTAAAGGGGGATGTTTTTGCATGTTTGTACAGTGGAGACAAAGGGTTTTGAAAGCATTTGGTTCTCAGTGCTCCTTAAGCATTTGCAGTGAAAGTGTAATTTGGTCTCAACTCGGTTTCCCAGTTCGTCATAGAGCACAGGCCATACTCCTTGACAGTTTCAGATCACTCACAGTGCCTCATACTGGCTTCCTGGCAATATTGAGCCCCTGTCCCATCTTCCCTTAACACCTGGCCTAGGCTTACTGGCTCTATTCAGACACACTCCTGTGTGGCATGAGGGAACTCTGTGACACATGGAAACTAAAGGTAGCTCCGGCTAGCCAAAATTTGTCTTTCCTCTGCCTGCACTATGGAGGTGACTTTGATGTGGCGCCCCCTGCAGGTGGTCACTAGACCGGGTGGCCTGCTAGGGTCCTGCTGTTCTCAGTGTTCCCTCAGTTTGTCTTGTTTTCTGAGCTTAATATCAGAGCCACCTGTCTCACCTGCTGTTTTTTCCCTCTTACAAATTCCCTGTCCCAGTGTATTTCATTCTTCTGTGCTGTATTTTCTGTTCTAGAGCAGCAGACTCCATGGTCTTGCTTTCTTATACTTAGGGAAGAAAGCAAAAAAATAAATAAATAAATAAATAAAAATACTCTCTGAAATGTCTAAAACTGACATAATCTGAGTTGGTTCTTGGAATGCTAACAACAATTTTTAAAATCTCCTACATCCTTCAACACATTCGGTTTTGGCTGCCAAACAGTAACCTTGATTTGATAATCCTCAGTGACCCTTTTCTATCCACATCTTCCACCTCCCACCCATACGTGCCTCAGGCTACGAGTGGAAAGTCACCTACTTGAATATGTAAAACTGAGAAAAAGCTATTAATACTTGCAAAATTTCACCTTCATTGTACCTACCAGATTTTGCCTAAAGAGAAGTTTTCAATGTTTGAAGAGGGATTGTGTGATCAGATGCTGAGCAGTTCACTCAAAGGCAATAAAAGCTTGTAGCTGTTGCTGTGTTAGTACCATGAACACATTTATATGTGTTGCTAACATTCTTGTAAATAAATCAGTATGAATATATGCCTGGTACTTTATATAAATTCTGTGAGTGATGTTCCAGGAAATAAGTTTTAGAAATACAATAAGAACTTACAAGTTTGAATACATGATGCACTATAGCACTGCCACTTTACTGAAAGGTCTGAATAGGATATATTTGAATACTGCTTGTGATATTTGCTAGTGTTTCAATATTCTCTCAAGGTTCTTTGTAAATATTCCTAAGCTCAGTAATTCTTTCCCATTGATGAACATTTTCAACTAATATATATAAAAGAACATAAAGAATGCTTGAAGTATTTTTTGAAATAACATAATAGTTTATTTTTACATCATTTTGTGCCTTTTCCCATCTCAGTTGTAATCCCCGTGGGCTTCCCATCACCAAATCACCTGTGTGCCATCACCATAGTCCACCCCCTTGCTTTTGATCCCATTCCCCACTCCACCCCTGTAAAATATCTCTAGTATATAGTTGTTCATTATTATTATTATTTTCTCCCCTGGTCATTTATATTGCTGCAATGAGTGAAACCATTCGGCATTTTTCTTTTTCTTTCTGGCTTATTTCACTAAGCATGGTCCCTTCCAGCTCCATCCAAGTTTCTGTAAAAGGCATGTTTTTATCTTTTTTGATTGCCAAGTAATATTCCATTATGTATAGGTATCACATCTTTTTTTAATAATATAATTTATTTTTACATCACTTTGTACTTTTTTTTTTTTAAATCTCAATTGTAATCCCTGTGGGTTTCCCATTACCAAGTCACCCATGTGCCATCACCATAGTCCTGTGCACTTCCCTCCCTCCACTGTTTTTGATCCTATTCCCCACTGCACCCCCACAAAATGTCTCTGGTAGGTATATGGCTGTTTATTATTCATATTATTTTCTCGCCTGGTCCATTATACTCCTGCTATGAGTGAAACCATCTGGTATTTTTGATTTTCTTTCTGGATTATCTCACTAAGCATGATCTTTTCCAGCTCCATCTCTATGTTGCTGCAAAAGACATGTGTTTCTTTTTTTTGGTTGCTGAGTAATATTCCATTGTATATATGTACCACATCTTTTTAATCCAGTCATCTAACTTTTGGGCATTTGGGCTGCTTCCATGTCTTTCCAATTGTAAATAAAGCAGCAATAAGCATGGAGGTGCAGGTATCTTTTTGAATCAGTGTTTTTGTGTCTTTTGGGTAGATACCTAGGAGTGGGATTGCTGGGTCATAGGGAAGCTCCATTTCTAGCAGTTTGAGAAACCTCAAAAATGTTTGAAGTATTTTAAGAATAACAGGGTTTTAAAATTTTTTTGATTCAGAATCTCATTTGGAAATACCAAATGAGAAAACAGCTCAAGAGCTGTTATAATAACTTCGAGGAGACTGTTATCTGTTGATGGGAGCAGAAACAATGGAGTGGAGAAGTGTGTAGATAGTTAATATTTCGGAAGTGGAATTAGTAGGAATATTTCAATGTGGAAGGCATGTTAAATAGAATGCAGACAAGAATGACATGAGAAGTGAGGTGAATAATACCTCACTTTGTTGTGGAAAACAAAGGTGTAAGTGGCAGCGAGTAGCTTTTGTGTGAGTGTGTATAGATTATGGTAGGTGACCAGTAAGCTCAACTTTGTATCTCTTGAGCATGAGGTATTCTTGCTTCACACAAAAGGAGCTGTCTGGTAAACATTTGGAGATAGGGATTTTGATGTCAATAGCAAATAAATGGTTAAGCAGTAGCAAAACCCAAGATTATCATTATTGGAGACACCAATAATGTAGGACTAAGCACAGAATGTGGGCTTCCAAAGGACACTGGGAAGAAGTATTACAGCTTTCCAGATTTGGGAAAGATATTTTTAATCAACTCCCTTTTCCCATTTACCTTCCCAACTCCCTTTACCCTCCTGTCATGGTACAGGCTTCCAGAGCATTACTTTTCATAGAATTGTATGCAGAGAAAACCATGTCAGTGCTAGATGAAGACAGCCAGAAATCCACTGGCACCAGCAGACTCCTTGAGATGACCCGATTTGAATGAAATCTCTCCCCACATCATGTCTCCTTCTACCTTTTAGGAATGAGAACTTAAAAGTTCAGAAATATGCATGAGATTCTGGGCCTCTCAATTTCTATTCCCCCATCTTCTTATAGTTGTGCATTACCCTGTCACCTCTCTTGTCCCACGCTCATTACAGTGCAGTGTAAAAGGATTCATTGCCAGCATAATCACAGCAGTTTGTTAGGGAAAAATAATTTTAATGTAAAATCACCTGAATCAGGCCCTCCCTGTTGGCGCAGCGGGTTAAAGCCCTGAACTAAGAAGCTTAAGCCACTTCCTCATGAGTTCGATCCCCGCCTGCCCGGGAGGAGATCCAGATGGCCTGGCAGACCTCTCCTGACCTGCTCATTGCTACCCTCAGCAGTGTACTTCGCTGATCTGCCTGTTCTGCCCCCCACTTTGTCCCTGGTGAATCTTCCCACCCTCCGCATCTCTGGCCTATATCCCAGTTCTGTATGAATAAAATAAATAAATCTAAAAAAAAAAAAATCACCTGAATCATATCTAAAGATGATTTATCTTTTCTCTCATTTTTAGGAAGAAGTAAGTCTAATTTGGGCTGGACACCTCTTCATTTGGCATGCTACTTTGGGCATAGACCTGTGGTTCAAGATTTGTTAAAGGTATCTTTATGACTTAAATTTTGAAATGAGAATAATGGATATTGCTATCATAGAAATTATAAAAAGCTTAGCAAGTGCATCTGAGCCATAATGGCCTATTTAAGGCAATAACTCATCACTACAGACACTACATTGTTTATAAATATGTTAGGTTAGCCTGATTAATTAAAATTAATTTATTCAAATTCAGTCATTTTCTTATCATAGTGACCTTTTAAAATTGTCGAAGTGGACAAATGAATTAGTGGTATTTGAGAATAATTGTTAGTAAAACAACCAAGCACGTTATAAATAATTAAAAAATGTTAGAATGTTTTAGCACATTATTTAAGACCTCATTTTCAATTCTAATTCTATGATGAGTAATTTTTCACATATTTATATTTCTGAATTTGGCTGCATCTTATAATTGACCTGTACATTTAAATATCTTTTTTCCTAAATTAAATTGGTGGAGACTATGAACGAAATGCCATAGAGACTGATTTTTTTTTCACTAGGAATGTGTTTCTAAAATAGAGTGGAGACGTATATAGTTTTAAAGAAAAAATACTTTATTTTTCTATCTATTAGGAAGATGGTTAAATTTTAGGAAGTTTATTTTTACTCTGGGATCAAATCTATTTTTAGTAGTAACAATGAATCAATAGATTTTAATTTTTAAAATATATAATGTATCTTTAAGGAATGATTTTCACTTTGTGTATTTCTTGCTAATGTGGAAGATGTTTAAAGTTTTCATGTTTACCAGGCTGGTGCAGAAGTAAATGTATTAAATGACATGGGAGACACGCCACTTCATCGAGCTGCGTTTACAGGACGAAAGGTGAAAAATGTTCCAGGTTTGGGGTTGAACTGTCTGGAAAAGCAATCAAGTGTTTTCTCCTTTATTACTATAAGTAGCAAATAGGAAAAGTCACAGAAATGTATAAGCCAGCTCTTTGGGTCCAGAGGCCATGAGTTCTTCACATTGGGCCTCAAACTCGAAGTACGCAGGTCATGGAGACCTCTACTACCGAGCCCCTGAGAGGAGTTCACTGTCTCTGCTATGCACCCAGGGAGGGGAAGGTCCTGATTGAGACTTAACTTATATTGCACAAATTTCACGTACTGTTTTTTTTGAAGATTTATTTATGCATACAGAACTGGGGTACAAGCCAGAGGTGCAGGGGCAGTGAGAGGATTCACCAGAGACAGAGTGGGGAGCATAACAGGCTAACTGACAAAGTACACTGCTGAGGGGAGCAGCAGGCGGGTCAGGAGAGGTTTTCAGTGCCATGTGGATCACCTCCGGGGTGGGAATCGAACTCAGTTGAAGTGACTTTTAGCTTCTTAGTGCTGTGCTTTAACCCACTGCGCCACCAGGGAGGGCCCCGTACCTGTGATTTTAACTGCCCTACACAGTGTGCACTCATTACCATAGTCCAATTGTAGAGTATTTCCATAATCCCAAAGTCTTTCCTGTGCCATTTGCATTTTTCCCCTGCTCCTGTCCTAAGCCCCAAGTTAGGACAATGATTTACTTTCTGTTTTTAGATACCTGCCTTCTCGAAAAAAAATTTTTATGACTGGAATCATGTACTTTTTTGTCTGACTTCTTCAACATAACATTATGGAGGTTGATTCTACAGTGATGCATACATGTAGCCTGTATCTATGTTAGGTTTGTTTTTATGTATGAATAACCCTCATATGATATATACCACATTTAAAAAAAACTCATGATTTATTAAGAGATTGTTTTCCCATTGTATTGACACCTTTGTTGAACAGGAGGAATTGACCATAAATGTCAGGATTTATTTCTTGATCTTAGTTTTCTTCATTTGATCTATTGGTACCCTATATTGGTACAATACTGTCTTCTTCATAGTTGCTTTCTAATTCAGTTTTTATATGGGGGAGTGTAAATTCTCTAGCTGATAATTTTTAGAAAAATTGCTTTGGCTATTTTCTGTCAGAGTTTGTATTTCCATACAAATCTTAAGATCATTTTATCAGTCACTATAAAAATACCTGTTAGAATTTTGATAAGAATGTGTTGGCTTGAATTTGTAGATCAATTTGGGGAGAAATTCCATTTTAACAATTCTGAATCTTCAAGCTATGAACATGACTGTTTATTTAATTTTTAGTTTATCTCAGCAGTTTTGAAATTTTCAATGTACTGATATACAGATCTTATATCCTTATGTTATTCTTAATGTTTGTTGTATGTATTTTGATGCTATTTGAATGGACGGCCTCTTTTCACTTTTGATTTCTGTTGCTACTATGTGGAAAGATATTTAAAAATTTGAGTTGTATCCCGTGTTCTGGTTGAATTTGTTAGTGGTAGTATAGCGATAGTATTTTGTAGATGTAGGTTTTTCTATATGCCAGGCCTTCTCCTGCTCTATTGCCTGTTCCTGGGTGCGAGTTTCCCAGTTAGCTAGAAATGGTTAGGTAGCTTAACTGGCCCTGCTCTGGTCCTCTCATTTCTAGACTGTTCTGCTATTTGCCCTATGTGGTAAGCATAACAGTGGCCCTTGAGAAATGTCCTGCTCCTAATTCCCAAAACTTGGGGATTTGTTAGTTTACATAGTCAGGGAAAATTAAAGTTGCAGGTGACGGCAAAGTTGCTAATTGACCGAAGTTAGGGTATGAAAATTCTTTTGGGTTATTTAGGTAGTTCCAGTGTGATGACAAAAGAACCTTGAAAGTGGAAGAGGCAGAAGAAAAGTCTGAGAGGACAGACGTGCATGTGAGATAGTGGTCAGAAAGATGCAACCTCCCTGACTTGGAAAGTGGATGAAGAGAACTGTCAGCTCAGCAATGTGGGTGAGGTCTAGAAGCTGAAAAAGGCAAGAAAATGAATCTCCGCTAGGGTTTCCCACAGGAATGTAGCCCTGCTGACACTTTGGTTCTAAGTGCTTGATATCCATTCTGAAGCGTGGAACAATAAGAGTAATTTGATTGTTTAAACCGCCAAATTCATGGCAGCTTTGTGCCACAGCACCACTGGGAAGTCAGTGCTCTGATGGAAAGGGCAGCCACGCGCCACCAGATCAGTAGGTTTTGGCTCTTGTGTCCCTCGAATTCACTACTTTTGCTGATAATGCTTCCTAACCATTCGCTCTCTGGTAGCAAAGCTACTGCTTTTCGCTGCTAGGCCAGGCTTCAGCAAACTTCTGGGGTGGGAGGAATGGGCATCTCCTTGACCAGGAGGCTAAATAAAAACTTTCTCCTTGAAGTTCTGTTTCCTTGAAGTTCTGTTTCCTATTGAGAAATTAGCTCAATTTGTTGATTGACATTGGAGGATATCTAGAACCATGAATGGTGAGTTTTATATTTTTGTCTGGTATTATGCTCATTTTTTCAGAATGGCGATTAGCTGAACTCTTGTCACGGTAGCCAGAACTTCCTTTGCCTCCTTTTTCTCTGATAAGGTTTCTGATTGAGTGATCTAGTAATTGTGACATAGGGTGTATTTTTTACCCTGATTATTAACCATGAGGTTATTTTGTAATCTTTAGAAAAAGTTTATACTTCCTAAAGGTTGTTATATTATCATAACGGGGAGGTTTGTATGCATCTATCATAAGCTAAGGAAGACTGGATTTACCATGTGATTTAATATTTCACTATTCTAGTGATTAGGTATAATGAAGTTTAATATGCATTATGAATCAATTCTGTATATACTAAATATGTTTTAGTACATTTCACACTATTTCAGGTGATTTGCTCATCTGCTGATACATGTGAACTGGATGAGAAGTCTTATTAAAGCGGAGGAAAGCATACCATTTATAATAAACAATGAATAGTGAAGGTAGGGTAGATTACAGTGTGTGACTTTAATGGGATTTCAAAAGTGAGCTGCAGATAGTTTAATTTGCTTCACTCCTAGGTCCTACTTGCTGCTTCCCTTTATCACCTTGCTTTTGTCAATCTTTTATATATATATATACCTAAGGAAATTCTTGGCCATTTATTTCTATTAAGTCTCCCCATTTTTGAAAGTGGAGCTCAAATGCTATCTTTATAGTTTCTGAACTTCTTGCAGCTATAAGGTAGCTTTTTCTAACATCAGAGCACTTTTGCTCGCTGTCTAATTTGGAGTATAGTTACTGTTGATGTATCTTATGAGCAGGTTGCTGTAATCTTGTTCTTCTGGAGTGAAAACATTGCATTTTTGTATTCTCCATGAACACAAGTTCTATTGTCCATCTCTGAGCTAGACCAAATCAGTTCATTTATCTATGTCTGTCTTGAAATGCATGGCCCTTTCTGCTCTTCTCTTCACTTTGCATATGAGGCCATGCTAAAATGACTTTAGTTTGCTTTGTCCATATTATGTGGTCCTGTATTAGAAAAGTTAAATGTAGCTTCAGATACATGGTTGTGTTATATAGGAAACATTAAAAGTTTATGATCAGTAGCTAGGAATAATTTAATTTTTCAAAAAGCTTATTTTCTAATCGTACTCAAAAGGAATCAAATTAAAAGGTAAGATTTTTAACCATGAAAATAATTTAAAATATAAATAAGGTTCTGTGACTTAATAATGATGAAGTAACAAGGGCTTGATTTATTATAAAGCATGTTTAAATTCTCATCCTGTGGAGTATATAAAAAAATAACTGCCACAAGTTTTGAGGGACCTTCAGTCTTTCCTTGGCACAGTAGCACCCCCTAGTGTCCTTTAGTAAAAGTTAATGTTCCAGAATTTCAAATATTCAGTAATTGTTCCTTTATTTTTTTCAAGTACTGTTAGAATTCTGAACATTTTGTATCTATTATAATCAGCTTACAATAGGGATATGATCGCAATAGTAATTGCATTGTGGTACTGACTTTTGTTTTGACTTAACAGTTTTCTAGCATAATTGAGACTATGTTGGAAACAAATGCCTTCTATGTTCTTTGTCTTGGGAATTATATATTTTGTTTGACATGTAGGTGATGCCTGTAATCCTGGGGTTTATATAGACTTTTCTATCTTAGGATAACATTTCTCATGTTTATGGCTTGAACATCTAGCCACATGGCAGACACTGTCCAACACAACTTGGTAGGCCTTGTTTCATTTAAAGGAAAATGATAAACCTGAAATACATGTATAAACATCGTTACTTCTTCCAGCTGAATTTCCCAGAAAGTGAGCTGAGATAGAGATTGGTGTGTAACGAGTTTATGGCGAGCTATGTGGTCACAGCTGTGGAAGGAGAGGAAGGAAACAGGAAATGTTTGGGTATTCCCCTTTCCTCAGTGTATAGTTACTTGACTAAATAGCCACTAGCCCCCTGGGGAATAATGTGGGAGATTCATGCCTGTGTAAGTTGCTCTGGTGTTGTAGAGTCTTTTCTGCCATGGTACCACCTCTTCAATAAGGCCCCAAATTAACTCAGGTCCACAAACTAGAAAAGTTGATCATTCATCAATTGATGTCTTCTGATGATACAAATATAGTTGTTAATGGGAAAAGCAAACGATCCCCACTATAAATGTCAAAATGCCAGGACTGTCAATTGCAGATAGTAGGACTGTAATAAGGGGGCTTGCTAGGTTGGATATGTTAAGATCATACCAGTAGTTTTGTGACATGAAGGGTCTAGGGAATATACCCTTGACCAGAGCAGAAGTCACTGGTGAAAAACCTCCAGCACCATTGACTTCATTAGTGGTTATTCTGAGGGGGGCTGCTGTGGTAAAATGCCCCTGAGACGTGGTCCTCTGAGAACCATGGGGAATGGGGAGGAGATAGAAGCCTGAAACAGTTGAGGTCCAGAGGGCACATGTAAACAGAAGCCAGGTGCATGCAGTTACAGTCAGGGGATCTAG